GGTCATGGGTATATTCTTTAGTTCCTTTAATAAGTCCAGAGCACCAACCTTCAAAAAAACAAACAAAGATTTGGTAAAATGTAACTCAATATAATAGTTTAACATGCACATTAAAAAGTATGAACATTTATAGCATAACAGAAAAGTAATTTAGTACACATTATTTACAATAAAAATCATTAGATTATTCACAATGGTCCCAATAAAGAATAAAAAGAAGGAAAATAAGAGGAAAATAAAACAACAGAAATCAAACAAAAAACAAAGAAATATCAATAGGCTATCTGATCTGAGGATAGAAATAGAAAAGATAAAAAAATATTAAAAGTGTATAGGGCAAAATAAGAAGATAACAGCGATTTGGAGATTTTCTAGATTATACATTTTGTCGTGCAAATTGTAGCATGAGCACTTCAATAACACGCGCGTGTTTACAGTGACGTCAACAGCAGCCACTTTGTAGCCAAACTTCTGCTAATTAGCATCACTTTAACTCACTTCTACACAACAATTAGTTTTTAGAAATTGTGGTTTCATATGTTTTATTATAATAAAGTAAGAGACTAATGTCTTGTTTGTTTTGAGATGAAATCAGTTGCATTACTGCCTCCCGCTGACTGACCCCGTGCATTTATCCGCGCTAACAGCAGCTAATGTTGCTAACTGCTCTGCTAGGTGATCAAATTATTAAAACAATAAACTGAACCACTATACACAAAGCTCGTTTGACATTTGGCCACAAAAGCTATTACAAAATAGATCCCTATGATCGATGTGCATTATGAAATAGGCGCTTCTCAATGAATGTAACTGTTAGCTTGTTATGTATCAATGTAGCCTCGTCCGAGACAGGGAATTCATTCATGACAAAACACCTCACCCCGTTCTTTTTCTGTGCCATTTTATCCATCTTCTTCGCGATCCGGATGATCTCTTCTTCTTCCTTTTTGCCCATTGTTTATGTTTTATGGCAGATTTTCAAATTAAACGTAGTATAAATGTTTAAAAAAACGTAAAACACCCCGCGAACACACCACTCCACCGGCGGCGACCGTAGCAGCTCTGATAGGAAGGCGTGTCTATGAAAAGCCCTCAGACATCACTAATCAACCCATTGAAACGCGCTTTGATTGAATCGATGTAAAGTCCAGGCAACATTAATCAAAAATATCCAGCGCGCCTCACTTGAGAAGCGATTCAAATTAATGAATAATTTCATACAGGGAATTATTGAACGACAAACAAATATATGAGCCGAAAGATACACACAATACTAGTAAAAACGATGAGCCCTTGGATAGTATACAGCAATTTGTGCTGTGATTTTGATTAAAAACGGTCTGGTCTGTGAGCGACCAGCAATTTGTACATGCAACACTAGGGCGCGCTCGTGCTCGATTTACAATGAAACAGATTGACAACAAAACGACACGGTTTTGATGTCTGGTGAGGTGGTAATGTACTCATGTTTTCTTCTGCTTTCAGTAAATTGTTTTTCTAAATAATTAGGTGAACTTATTTTCGTGCATAGAAGTTTTGATGCCATGGGATGTCTGTGAATTGGTTGTCCGACTAACCAGAATTTAATGTGTAATTATAAAATTGAAAAACTGACAATGAAACTAAAATTTTCACCAACAAGTGCTAACGACATGGAAGCTTATTTAATCACAACTTCTCTCCACAACGTTTTCTTATTGGGAATATTGCCAATATCTTGTAAACGAAACAAATCACTATTCTTTCACAATTTGTTTAACTATGGACTATATTAGTTAATAAATCATTTAATAAAGGAACATTATTTACATTTACAGAATTTATCGCAAGATAGAAAATTCCTATTACATTACATGAAATGTAATTTATGATACTAACGGTAAATACCTGGTATACATATGCTGTACAAAAGCAGTGTATGTACACGAGCGGTTTCTGTTTGTCCTCCTAGACCTAAACAGACCTCAGTCGGTTTTATCTGTTACTCTGGATTTAAGCCTAATAATCCCAAAATTAGACCTTTGGCCTAAAAGAAAAAATGTCTAGACCATATGTTTTTTTTTTTTTTTTTTTTTTTTTTTTTGCTGGAACAATATATTTAATATTGTAAACTGGACTCAAGTACCTAAATCTTTTTTGTTATTACAAATAAGGCTAAAGAAATATCATTTAAATTACTTCATAGAGTTTATTCTACAAAAAATATATAAATATTTCTACAAAATTTGAAATTGATATTCAGTTAGAGTGCTGTTTTTGTGAAAGCTTTAATGAAACTATTTCACATTTGTTTTGGTCTTGCTAAAATACTCGGCTTAATGTTGAAGCTTTTATTGCTCAAAATATTTTAAAATCATTTTTCTTATCTTATAAATATGTGATTTTGGGTAATATTGTTAAGGATCGCTCTTTAAATTATGCTGGTTTAATTATAAACTTTATTTTATTATTATGTAAATTTGACATATAAATCCGTTTCCCAATTGCAAACCTGTCTTCATGGTGCTAGCAAAAAGATTCAAATCTATATAAAAGTGTTTTCTAAGTCTAAAAATACAAAGGCAGTTAAAACAGTTATAGCTTTGCTCCTCCTTTAACATTTTTGCATAAAAATGTTTGTATATATGCATTTCCTGCAGTACAAGTACATTTATTAACGCTTGTTAATAGCTAAAATAATATATTTGTATCTAATTTGATTACTATGTACCCTCACCTCTGTTTTTTTTCTCATTTATTGCATTTTTGTTAAGAAATGTAAAGTGATTTTGTTGTATTGGAAAAATGTACACACTGGTTCTTGTTAATAAAAAAGAAACTAACCAGATAATGAATTGATAAGTTAAAGCATTGTTTCTCAACCACGTTCCTGGAGCACCACCATCACTGCATGTTTTGGGTGTCTCCTTTGCCTGTCACACCCATTACAGGTCTTTCAGTCTCTGCTAATGAGCTGATGATCTGACTCAGATGTGTTTGGTTAAGAAGACATAGAAAATGCGCAGAGCTGGTGGTCCTACAGGAACGTGGTCAGGAAACACAAAGTTAGAAGATTCTGACGTAATGAAAAATGATAGATATAATTGAGAAACAACGTGTGTGTTTATATAAGGTCTGCATTAGAAGTTTGTTTGAATGTATAGTATATTGAATAATGATTAAAGCTTTAATGTACACAAGAACCTTTTTAATTAACAAAAAAACACCGGCATAAATAGCAGAATTGTATGTGTATATAATGATGCCCTTCTGTGGATTGTGAAGTGTTGTGAACTTTAATTCTTGTTTACTAATCAAAGTATGCAGATTAAGTGGGGTAATTCTGTATCTGATACATTTAAAGTATGTAATGGAGTAGGACAAGGAGGTTTACTTTCACCTGCATGCTTTTTAAAATGTTTGAATGATTGAGTTGTCTGAGGAACTCAGTGATCGTAGGACCGACTTTGTGCTCTATGATACTATAATATATCATTACATTTTGTGCAGATTATGGGCGGAGATATAATGTGCAAAACAATTAAAAAAAGAGTGTTTACATGACATGTAAAACCAAAGAGCATCAAGATATGATTTTTCCAGATTTTTATTTGTCTGTAATTAAAAGAATATCTTTTTAATTGGGTAAAGTAGCCTGATCCACCTTCAGACATGGCAGTAGGTTTCAGCTTGACATATAGTGTCATGTTTAGAGGTTTAAAAATGCAGATAACAGAGCAGCATGGTTTTGCCTGATGACTTGGTGCCTAAGGGCAGAGAAAAATCACTATTAGTCTTGATCCTGATAAGCTGCCACACTCAACGCACCAGAAGTATTACCCATTTCCGTGTGCCTTATGCATCAATCAGACCTTTAGATTTGTTGCCATATCTGCACATTCGGATGGTAGGGTCAGAATTTGGCATCAACAGCATGAAAGCATGGATCCATCCTGCCTTGTATCAATGGTTCAGGCTGATGTTGTTGTAATGGTGTGGGGAATATTTCCTTGGCAAACTTTGGGTCTATTAGAACCAATTGAGCATTGTCAACGCCACAGCCTATCTTAGTATTGTTGTCTACCATGTCCATCCCTTTATGACCACTGTGTACCCATCTTCTGCTGACTACTTCCAGCAGGATAACGCACCATGTCATAAAACGTGAATCACCTCAGACTGGTTTCTTAAACATGACAATGTTCAATGTACTCAAATGGCCTGCACATTCACCAGACCTTAATCCAATAGAGCACCTTGTGCTTGTATGTGGTGGAATAGGAGACTTGCATCATGGGTGTGCAGCCGACAAATTTGCAGCAACTGCATGATGCTTTTATGTCAATATGGACCAAAATCTAATTATTACACAGACACACAAATGCATTATTATTATTATTATTAATTTTATGCTCTTGATATTACTGATGTAATTTAAATGCATTCTGTGCTTACGTGTTATTAAATAAAAATCTCATGTTTTACTTTGTGCCCTGCGTGTGTGCAAGCCTCTAATCCTTAGAGATCAAGACAACATGATTTCTCATCCACTGAATTTATTTCACCCTCAAATGTTCATGAACAACAAAACAAATCATTATTATGGCACATTTTGATCATGACAACAAGAATGTTACGGTGTTCTGAAACCAGTTTTAGAACAGAACAAACACCTGATAAATGAGTTTTATAAATTTCTGCTAAAACCTCCAGTTCAATTTTCCCTGGAAACAACGTGTGGCTAATCTCCACCCCAGGAAATCCTATAAAACTATGTAAGACATGACAGGGCTTGATGTGATTACAAGAAACTGATAACTATATTTGAACCCTCTTTACGCGTTGTCTCATAAAAAAAAAAAATAAATAAAAAAAAAAAAAAAAAAATATATATATATATATATATATATATATATATATATATATATATATATATATATATATATATATATATATAAATTAATAAATATATATTTAAAAGTTACATTTAAATTGGCAAATGCACAAGTCAAGTCCACGCTTTTCATACGCAGCTCACATACATATCTGGTGCTGATTGATTAGAATGATACAAGATTAATATTCTCCAGATGTAATGCAATAAGAACTGGTGTTTCCCTGCTGTAAACCAATCACAATCACAATATTCCTGCTGTGCTTCCGTAGTCACAGAAATGCTCCCACTGAGAGACACATGCTTTACCAGCTGAGACTTCCCTTTCCCTTATAGCCAGCTTCAGCATAAAACCTCTCTACTTCACCCCACTCTAATCCCTATTAACACAGGCCCTAAATCTGCTTATATCTCTGCAAGAAATTAGAAACACCTTCAGCCATCTGCTGGATATCACACACAGCAGAATATATACTTCGGTTCTCATTACGTTCAAGTCAAAACCTTTCAGAAATCATCTTTTACAAATGCAATTCATTTAGGTGCTTATGTAATCTGATGAGAAAAAGAAGCAGGTAGGCTGTTCTATAAACAGTCAAGATCAACCTAAATTGTTTACATGGAGATTGTTACATAACTGATTTACAGTTTATTTTTATAAACGCGTAATATCGTTCAGTCATTGATTTCGTTCATCACACTTACTGTTGTCAATACCATTAAACGCCCATTTGCTAAACATAGAATTTAATACAAGTTGGTGGAACTGCATAAATACCCAGTTTAAAACATGTATTTTGTAATTAAAACTAAAATATGCACTCTTTCTCTAAAATGCTGTTTAATCATGACCAAAGATTATACAAATCGACCCTGATGCCTGCCGTCTCAAAATAGCCTTGAGCGTTGTTCATAATCTCTTCAGTTGACGGACAACAAACTGGCCAACTCAAGCCTCCTGAAAATGTGGAAAAAAAGGTAAGATAAATGGCTTAAAATATTTTGTATATAGTTTGTTGAAATAGAGTTTGTATTTTAACTTCTGCCACCAAAAGTACTGTAAAATTCCAGCTATTTTAAATGTTAATGTTGGTCAATAAACCCGTTCTAGAAAACATGCTAACTATCAGGTATCATTTAGCATGGTGCTTGCTTGTAGCTGTATGGGGACTGTTGAATTTTTATAGAACAGCATTCGCAGGAGATTATAAGAAGATTTCCTGTTTTGAGCTTTATATATTTGTGTTTTTGAATTATGGTTTCCAGAACTTGTCTTCTGGCTGTTATGCAATGGTTCACTGCACTGAAAAAAATCTTCCAGGACATCATTTGTCAATCGAATGAGGCTGTCTGTGCCACACGGCAAGGCTATCTATATAAAGATGATGTTTTCAAATAGCATGCAGTACATTTTATGACTAGTGACCTGTTTCAATATGTCTTTAGTTTTCTAAAGTACTTTTTTCAATCAGTATACACGTAATGTGTATTTAAAAATATAGCATTATTAGTTTTTAATCTTTACTGTTTAATATGACTATGACATTAGAATCAGTTTATTGTATTTGATTTCAGTTCTTATACCTGGGCATCGGAAAAGAAACTTCCAGAACGAACTCGTGTAGTCCTTAAGAGAAGCCATTTCATTGCAAGAAGCCATTTCGCTAATGACTGTAATGAAATATTGAAAACATTACCTAAAAGAAGAATGTAGTTGCTGCTGCTAATGAACTACAGAACTGCACAGTATAAGGACTTCATTAAAAAGAATGTTATGTAATTTAAAGGTTTTGTTTTGTTGTCATCAGCCCAAAGTGCCTAAGTGAACACTTGTTTGCAAAATCACTAATTTATGGGTGACACACAATGAATGTGGATGCAATTTCACTATGGCACTATAAACAAACCAAGTGGGACACTGTTTAGTAAAAACAGGACAATATTCTTGAATGATTTGCAGAATGTTATTAAGTACAAAATAAGACATGAAAATAAGACTGAAAATAAATGTTAACTGTTGTTTCTTTTTTTGTGTAGAATCTATTAATATGAGCACAACATCCCTGAATGATGGCCCCCATCCTGACCTGTCCCCAGGTAGCATGCAAACATTGGTCTCCAGGCCACTGCTCCCTCAGTCAGACCCCATTACCACTAAAAGGGTATGTTTCTACAAGAGCGGTGACCCTCAGTTTACTGGGCACCGGATGGTCATCAACAGTCGCACTTTTAAAACCTTTGATGCCCTACTAGATGCCCTCTCAAAGAAAGTGCCTCTGCCATTTGGAGTAAGGACCATCACAACACCCAGGGGAACACATGCTGTCTGTTCCCTTGATGATGTGCAGGATGGGGGCTCTTATCTGTGCTCGGATCAGAAGAAAGTCAAGCCTTTTAACTTGGACGAGGTCCACAAGAGACAGGTCCCTTGGAACACTACCAGACCTGTCAGTGCGGGACGCCAAGCACGCAGAGAACTGGTCCGGCAACTAGCAAAGAGAAATCAAGTGTCCACAAGAACAATAAAAATGTCGGAAAACACTGTGGTGGTGCGGACACCAAAAAGACTGACAGTTTACAAAAACAGAGATCCAAGCATGAAGCGAGTAATTGTTCTTCATAGGAGAATAGCCCCTACGTTTGAAGCTCTTTTGGATTATCTTTCTCAAATGATGCAGTTTCCTGTTGTAAAGCTTTACACAGAAGATGGCAGAAGAGTAAGTATATCATTTATAAATATGTCTGTTTTCCTTGCTATGAGTGTCACTGAAGAATAATACCATAAGTAGGAATAAACTGCCTTTATGTGTTGATTTTGTTCAAAAGATTTTGGTAACTTCCTAAAATGTAGTTTTGCTGTGCATTCTCAATGAATTCTAAACATATTAGGCATGTTTTGATATTTTTAGCCTATAGGTTCTACAGTAAACTGTCTTTTTCATTAGTCATTCTGTCAATCCTCGATGCACTAAGCCATGATGTTTAAATTCTTACCCCCAGCTGTGTGAGTAGACTGTAATCACTCTTGTCTTAAGGAATGTGACGCACAGGATGACTGACTAAAGCTCATGTGAGCAGTCAATATAATGTCCTAGTGTTTGAGTTTTGTGGGAAAAAGATGATGTTATTTACACTTTCTTTTGTATTAATAGATTGAAGGACTTTCTGCTCTTATTTTGTGCACTGGAATTGTTGTGGCAGCTGGTAATGAACCCTTCAGAATAGGGATATACAATCTTCAGGCTCCCACAAAAATTCAGTCAAAGATACCTTCTGAATCTGAATCCCTGCAACAAATGGAGACACTACTACGTAAGTTCAAAAGACATATTTTTGCACTTTGCTTTAATGATGAGCAAATTCACATTTTGATTTTAAACCCTAATTGATTGTTTTGTTTTCTCTTTCCTTCCCACCATCTTTTAATAATATCTTATTTGTTTTTTTGTAGAAGAAAAAAAGATTCCATCTGGGACCAATTCAAGATCGAGGAATTTCTCTTTATCATCTGAGAGATTCCTTGTAGAGCAGATCAATAAGTCACTAAATGGAAATCTGACAGAGCACAATAGGACAAAGAATGAATCAATGGAGACCGAAGGCAGTCAGCCAGTGGGATCAGACGAGATGGAGGCCTGTGACTATACAGAGGATGTGGAGGAGAGGAATTGCCCCACAATGCCTAACGAAGACGACATTGAAAAATCATTTCGGGTTAATGAGGATGGAAGCATGACAGTAGAGATGAAGGTGCATCTTACTATAAAACAAGAGGAAATGATCCACTGGACGACTACATTGAGCCGCACCTCAGTTAATAGCCAGCAGAGGGCAGTGTGCAATTCCAAACCAGAATCGGGGGCAAACTCAGTAGATATAACCAATGACTCAGGCAAAGAGTCGAATGGACCTCATAGCCTAGATTCAAAAGAAATCAATACTGTACCTAATAAAACTGTAGGATTCATCAAGGAAGAAAGAGAAAATTATGGCAGTGATACATCTTCTGAAAAGCCTATGCCCATCTATAGAAGGCTGCCCACTCCAGCCCCTAGACAACGTCGAAAAGAGGTCTCAGTTGAAAACATTAAAACTGTTTCAGAGACTGAAGTTCAGGAGAGTACAGTTGGTGCGTACTCATACATGGAGCGGACTGCACAGGGAGAGTTGATGGAAGGCTACTGTGTGGTCAGTCGCAGCAGTAGCAGCAGCACAAGAACTGTGTCAAAACCCGGGAAGAGTGAATCAGGAGAGATTAAACAGAAGAAGTCTCATTCTTCCTTTAGATCCTCAGGGGTGGCAGAGGTACTTCAGCTACAAAACAATGGGACGATGGGAATAACAGAGACTGTGGTGCATATATATGAATCACAGGGTACATGTGACAATTACTATGCAAATACACAGATGGATACGGACAACAAGCCTGGATACTGCACAAAAGCTTTGCCTCAAAGTAAGCCAGGCTCAACAGACTCAGGACCCTGTTCATCAAGTAACGATTGTGATGTTGATCTCACAAGGCAGTCCACAAGCTCCAACTCCCTGGATGGTGGAAAAAGTAATATGCTGTCATTATCTTCTGACCGTTCAACACCTCCAAAAAAGATAAATAGCAATCTTTCCATCCTTACCGATGACGAAAAACAATCCTTGGTTGAGTGCACATCTGAAACAATACAAAAGAAGATTATGCATCCAGCAAAAGAAACAAATTCCAGTAATAAAAGCACTGCTGTTAATAAAAATAATTCACCAAAGTCCAAAAAATCAAAGCAAAGCACTTCTTCTGGATCATCTAGGCTTGGGAAAAACATAAAAGGCAGTGCTCCAGGCTCTTCAAAAGACCTCCGAGTGACTTCAGACACAACGAGCCACACAGGATCAGAGAAAAAGACTAGCTCAGCAGAAAGTGATAAACATGAGCACAAAGCAGTGAGAGACAAAAATAAGAAGACAAAGACATTTGAAAGTTCTTCAAAAAGTAAAAACTTGAATCTTGATAATGGGAATCAAAGACCATCAGATAAAGATGTTAAGTTAAAAGATAAAACCATAAAAGACACTTCCCACAAGATAAACACAAACAGCCATGACTCTCAAGGGCCAAAATTGAAAAAGAGTAGTTTAGACATTGAATCACCAGCCCATCCAGCAAAACTAATAAAGAGGCTTCCGAAACAAAGATCCATGAATGGTGTAAAACCAAAATCCTCTAAACCAAGACAGGAACTGAGTGAAAGCGTGTCATTGCCTGTGTTACAGTCATCTTCCACCAGTGTAAATCAGTATGTTGAAAACTGGCTGAAAAGACTTGAACCAGAGTCTCTGCCCTATGAAGATGAGACAGACCCTCCCGAGATTGTGCCAAGGGCTGTATTCCAGATAGGGGCTGACTCCACTGAAGACTCTGAGATTAAAAGCAACCCTGATGGAGATAGCATAGAGGAAAAAGAACAATTACTAGAAGATCATGTTGACGAAAGCCCAATGTGTCACCCACCAGTGCAAATAAGGTGTGAGGGAGAGCCAATTGAGCCACAGAAGACAATGGGCTTTTGTAAATCAATGCCAATTTTGAGGGTGCCTTCTGAACAAGAAGGTATTGTAAGAATGCACAAGTCATCCGAGCACTTGTTTCCCCCAGAACCCTCTGGGAAATCACAAAGTACAGAGGTCAGTGTTAGATCAGGCATGAAACCAGTTTTGCAACAGTTGTGTTTGTCTGTTCAGTCCATCAAGCGTGCTTTGAGTCAGACCTGCTTAACATCTGGGGAAAGGGAAAAGTCCAGTAGCCTCCCAGACTTTTCATCTCAGGTGGCCTCTGCCTTTGGTTCTCCATCCAGAGCTCTTCTTTCTTTCTTGTCAGTCATGACTCTGAGAGATGGGCTTTCAGTCCTTTATAAAAACGAATCAGAAACTGGCAACTCAAATGACTGCCCAGAGGCCCTGCAGGTAATGCAGTCTTTGGAAAAATTATCTAACATTAAAGATGAAGATGAGCTAAGGGCCAGCTTGACCAGTCTTCGAAGTTCAACTTCGTCCAAATTAAATCAAAGCTGGAAAGATTTCCAAGAGCAAAATATCTATGACGATAGTCCCCCACTGTCACCAAGACTATCGGAACAGGAGTTTGCTCTAGAAGTGGACTTGGAAGGAGAAACGGATGATCAGGACAAACAGCACAGTTTTAGTATTGCACAGTTACTGGATGAACTGAACATGCCTGAAGATGTTCAAAGAGAAATATCCTCTCTTGTTGAAGGAGAACTTAATTATTTTACTCAGTCAGACTCAATCAAAGATGCTGAGAACATCAGTGACATTTTAGGTAAAAAGGAGGAAAACGATGATGGCTCCTTAGGTGGTAGTTTAGAGAAAGCTGCAGAAATGGAAGAAGAAAGGGATAATATTGGCCAAGACAATGATGTAGCCAATGATGACATAACCAATGATCCAAAAGACCCAGAACCTTTAGAGATGCATTTAAATCAGTCTCATTCCCCTGACTCGGAAACTGTAGATAAGGACTTTTGTAATGAAGATTCTGGTATAGCAGTGCCTAATCAGTCACCTGAAGGTAATGGTAGTGATTCAAGTAAAGCAGAGGCTTTAAAAATCTGTAATAACAACCAAGTAAATGCAGAATGCTTGCAAGAAAAGGTGATGAATAAAGACTTAGAATCTGAAAACAAAGATGCTGAAGAAAATCATTCTTCAATAGCAGAAGATGACCTACAGGAACAGAAGATGACCACAGAAGATGTAGCTGAAGATAAAAATGTTTCTGAGCTCTCAGATGACCAGGACAATATGTCTGAAAGAGAGGAAAACATAATAGAAGAGAATATAGAAACTGATGAAAAGGAAAACGACACCAATCAAGACATGAGGCAAACTAGTGAACAATCAGATGATTCAGAACCAGACGCCACAGGGGCCAAACACTCACGTCCAGCATCGGAAACTGAATGTGTGCCATTTTCAGACAGAGAGGCATCTGAGGTAAATGAGGACAATCAGTACAATACAGCTGAGGATTGTGTCAGAGGAGAAGAGGACGAAGAAGAAGACGAAGAAGAAGACGAAGAAGAAGAAGAAGAAGAAGAAGAAGAAGAAGAAACAATTAGTGACGAAGGAGGGAAAGAGCAAGAAAACACGTCCATCATATCAGAAGGCGAGTCCCTGCCATTAGAGCCCTCAGAGACATTATCACCTCATCATGATACAGAGGGCGTATTCAGAAAGCATATAATACAGTCATCCAGCCAAGAAGATGATCAAGTGATGTCTCCAGATATTAAAAGTGCAGATGAACAAGAAGGAACTACATCAGATGTCTCAGAAGATGAGGATTCTGAACCACACTTTAATAACAGCAGCCCTCATCGAAGTAGTAATGTTGAAAATAGTATGACCCCTGAGTCTGATTTTGAGAAATCACAACAAAAAGAAGATAAAAGACTTGTGGATGAAGATGACATTAACAAAGTAGACCATGATGGCTCAGAGGTTTGTGAACAAATAGATCCAGATGCTGAACAGGACTCTTCTACAATCTCAGATCCTGAGGTTGGGCATGAGGATGTGACAGGAAAAATGTCAAACACAAGTGATTCAAAACTCCAGACATTTGAGGAAGATAGCCTCACTGATAAAAAGGACAGTTCTGCTGAAGAGTGTGATGCAGATGAGGTTGATCATAGCAGTTTACTTGATTCTCACAATAATAACAATGGTCTTCGAAACTCGATTGTGTGCACTAATACTACAGATTCTGTGGAAAGGGAATCATGCAGCAGCACAATTACAAGTGAGCATCATTTTGAGAATACAGAGAGTTTAGGGATGGAACATGGCTATCATTATCTACTGCAACCAACTGAGATCTCACAGGAGCTGTTAGACCTTATCAATTCAGCTTTGTTGTCCTCGACCCTGACTGTCACATCTGATTCAAATGGCAACCTCAGAATAGAGCCAGACAAATGCAAAATGAAGGAGATGTTCATGGCTGGCCAAAGAACAGATGATCAATATGGTCAAAAACGTCTTCCGAGTCCTAACACATCAGATTTGTCTGATTACAGACCTGAGACGTCTGACATTGGTGGATACCAGTCTCAGGAGTTTTTCACCGAGAGTGGAGACGAGGAGACAGAGAGATTGCACATCTTTCGAGAAATTTTAAAACAAAGTTCGGAGAAGCCAAGATTAAAAAACCACGTGAAAGAGAACAGCTCAATGAAATCGCCCACATGGACGGCAACAAAACATACCGGCAGTCCAAGTTTAAAGAGCAGTAGTGTTAATTCTTTTCAGGATACTAAAAGTGCAATACATGAGCCACTATCCCACAGTGTATCACCTAGCAATAAAAGTTCACTTGATGGAGATGATGAACCGGTGCAGGGCATGGCTTTAAAAGAAAAAATCAACTCTAAAGAGGGAGTTCTTATTGATAAAGGCAGGTGGCTTCTCAAAGAAAACCACCTCATTCGTAACTCTCCTCCTGCATCCATGGGAATGTACGGAAATGAAGACACCACATCAGCGGACACGGCTCAGGATAACAGAAGTGAAGATTCATCTCATCCATATTGTGAGAACCAAGCCTCACCTCTGGCTGCAATATCTTCTTCTGAGTTGGAAGATATGGTCAAACCCCCTACACCAAAGTGTACGTACTTCAATATGGCACACAGCAGTGACTCTGATCCTCTCATAGATGCCCAAAGTGTCAGAAGTGGCAGTGGTGGAGGGGATAATAGGAGGAAAAAGCAACTTAAGGTGTGTCCGATGGGGGAGTCTTCAAACATGTGGGCAAAGAAAAACGGAAGTATGTCTTCATTTGCATCTGTTGAGTTCAAACTGCCTGATGGCAAAGTTCATCCTCAAGAGGGGTCAAGCTCTGGGGTTCACAAATCCCAGAGTCAAGACAGTCAGACAGTACAAGAGGAGGAGTCCAGGATTGGACTAAATCTCAGGTGTGGGCAGCACTGCCCAATATTATAGTCCAAAAGGGAAAATGTACCAGTATTGTTTCTACTTAAGTTCTAGTTATTAATAGTTGATTTGCTTTAACTAAATGAACAGCACATATGATTTCACTTCGGTGCCTGCTAGTCTTTACGATTTGATGTTTTGGCTTATTTTAAGTATGTCTCCATTTCGAAGGGGCTAAATTGCACAATAAATCTGATTTACTTGAACTTCCGAAGTGGCATTTCTCCTGGATAAAAGGCGAATGATGAATAATTCACCCTAAGCCCCGGTATGCTTGATTTGATTTTGTTTTTCAGAGATGTGGAGACTTTGGCATACTATAATCATGAACTTGTGCTTAAATCACCATTCAAAGTACTCGTTTGAAGGGTGATCTGCTCAATTAATATCTCTCAGTATGTGTTGTCTTACCCTTTGAACCACTTTTAAATTGTCTTTTTTATGAAAGCCCTTAAACTCACACAAAAAAGTAATTAATTTGGTCAGAACAAGAGAATAGGCAATAATGCTTTGTTTTCTGATATTTTTTGTGCCATTTTTTAATTGTGTAAAGCACAACAGATTATTTGTTAAACTCGCGTAGCAACATACATCTGTCAAACTGTAAATTTTTATTGTTGGAGGAGTGTGTTGAGATTTTTTAAAAAAACATTTTTAATGCTTTTTTAAAAAGCAGTATTGACATTATAACATAATATGCACGATAAAAGCACAACGCAAAAATATGAGAATCAAGGCAGCTTACATCACAATGAGATGAATTCTTTTTATTGTGCTGATAACTAGGAGATCAAATTAAACATACACTAATAACCTCTAGGATCTATCTTATAAAATGATATACAGCATTTATACGAATTTGTATATTGATCACATTTGGATATGTATATTACGAATAGTATTTTGCACATAACTGTTCTTTTTATTTTTAAATATTTTAGGTCACTGAAACAGTGCATTGCAAACCGAACAAGAAAAAAAAAAATAGATGAACAGAATAAAAACAAAAGAGATAAAAGTATAGACATGGCTTCTTCAGAGGGTTTTTGAATGTGAGGACAAAAGCCTAATTCTCACAAAGTGTTATTTTAACAAATTTCAGGAGGAGCATGCGCAGATGTTTTAGCAATTCTATACGTCAACGACAATCATTTTATTATCCAATCAGTATTAGACCAAACCCCTATAAATACCAAAAGCTGTCCTACACTGCAAAAAATGCTTTTCTTGCTTAGATTTTTTGTCTTGTTTCTAGTCTAAATATCTAAAATTTCTAATATCAAGAAGCATTTTCTAGAAAAGCAAAACATATTGTCTCATTTTGAGAAATAATATGCCAATATTAAGTCAGTTTTTCCTTAAAACAAGCAAAATAATCTTCTAATGGGGTAAGCAAAATAATCTTGTTTTTTCTTTTGACGTAAGATTATTTTGCTTACCCCATTGGCAGATTATTTTGCTTGTTTTAAGGAAAAACTCACTTATTATTGGCATATTATTTCTCAAAACAAGAAAATATGTTTTTCTTGTCTAGAACATTCTTCTTGAGTTAGGAATTTTCAGATATTTGGAATAGAAACAAGACAAAAAATCTAAGTAAAAAAAGCATTTTTTGCAGTGTATCTGCATTATTTTACAACTTTAGCATCCATCCACCACCCCGACACCTCACCTTTTAAACATTATATACCCGGGGGGAGCGTTCTGGGGCCGGGTTAGACACTTCGTTCAAACCCCAACTTCTCTGTATTCCCCGATAAGGGGATTAACACGAGTTGGGGTGTCTTCTTACAGTTTAAACTTACATTTGTAAGTTTAAACTGGTGAAACAGTTGTTAAGCAGTGCAGGGTTTAAAGCATAGGTCTCAAACTGGATTCCTGGAGGGCTGCAGCTCTGCACAGTTTTGCTCCAACCCTTATCAAACACAGCTGATCCAAATAAGCAAGGTGTTCAAGACAACTTGAGACTACTAAGCAGATGTGAGTTGGAAGTGGTTGGAGCTAAACTATGCAGAGCTGCGGACCCCCAGGGATTGAGTTTGAGATCATTGGTTTAATGAAATATTGTCTGTCGAAGGTCAAAGGTTAAATGCCAGTGTAGGGGAAGTGTGACGTGCTTGCCATAAAATGTAATTCTACACTATTGTGACTGCTGTCAATAATGTTTTCATTTCATAATGCAAACAGAGTTGTATTTCAAATGATTTTGAAATGATTATTGTTTTGTGAGACTGGAAAGCTATCATTTTTAATTAAGTACATTGTTGGAAATTAAACTATAAAATAAAAAAAGATGTTGATTTGTTATTAAGGTTTGTGTAGTGGCATTTTTACTTTATTTATATGCAATAAAATTGGGTATTTTTCATGGGTACACTGAATTGTCAATGCAAAACAAAGAAAATTGCACTCCTTGCACTCAATCCCAGAGTATTCCCAGCATATTGCAACTGAGCTCCCAAAGTTTCTCAGCCATTTCATCATCTCTAGCAGCTCTGGTGCATCTTGAAGGTCTGCAGTCACTTTAAAAATGGGGAAGGAATAGAAAGAAAATGCAAAGTAAATGAATTTCATTTGGGTGCCAATAAATTTATGCAACAGTATTTGATTCAGTGTGACACAGTTTAATACCTGTAGTATCCACCGCTCTCTGCGTCTAACTCTGGCTGCACTGCACAGTAGATGGTAGTTTGTGCTCCCTGTACCGGGGTCTTTGTGAAAGGCCTGACAACTTTCCACATGATCAGAAGTCCGAGATTCATATGCCTTTTAAGTTCAGTTCGCACAATTCCCGGATGGACTGCATATGATGTGACACCTGTGTCTGAAGATGCAGTTGAAATATTACTCCAAAATATCAAATTGGCAATTATTTTTGTACCTATTTATCTGACCTTCTGTATTTTGAAAGGACATTTACCCTTGAGTTTTTTGGCCAATGAGCGAGTGAAAAGAATGTTGGCCAGTTTACTTTGACCATATGCCCTCCTGCTGTGGTAATTCCTCTCACTGTTGATATCATCAAGTGTTATTGTACCCCAACTGTGAGCCATGGATGAAAGGTTGATGATTCTGGAGGGGGCCGATCTCTTCAGCAGGTCGATCAGCAGGAAGGTTAACAGGAAGTGACCTGAATGACATAAACTATTTCACTTTCATGTTTTTATATTACATGTAATGGTACATCAAAAATGCTGAATCCACTTTTGCTATTTTAAGGAAGGAAAAATACGCTCTGCGCCCTGGCACATGGTCTAACAGGGTAGTGCTTATTCTCAATGAGTTATGGGTGTGTTTTGAGCAGTACGTACATTAAACCAATCAGAATCTCATCTCCCATTCCTTTTAAGAGTCAGTTGCGTCGCACCATGGCACATTTGATGTTTACAAAAACACTTCATTAGTGAGAAAACAGTTAAACAGACCATCTGAAGTGCGAGGATAAAGAATGAGCCTCCTCCATTTGGCGTCTTTACTTTACTTTTACTCTACTCCATTACTTTCATGGATGAAAGTAAAGGAGTATGTGAATGCAATCTACTGAAGACATCCATTAGCCTACATATTTAATTTCATGTGTTAACCGCAAAGATTTGTTTCAAAACTATTTCTAAATTCAGTTTTAATTTCCAGCAAACAAATAAATGAGCAATAAAAATGAAGAGTGGTCAAAAAAACTTAGCTATATCAAAACACATGTCCTATTCTTATGCCCCATATGGTGATGCTTACATCTTCAAATCTCGACTGTGGACAAATCTAAATTTAAATATAAATATATAATAAATAATACTGCTAAAAATAATAGCATTACGTAAATTGTCATGAATAAACTGAAAAAAGGTTTGACATGAAGAAGGCATGAAGTTGTGGTTTTTATATTTATGTAAAAAAACTTTAACATTTTAATCTTTCAATTTTATTCATGTGTAAAAATGTTTGTGTACTGTATATACATCCTATGGGCTGCACGGTGGCACAGTGGGTAGCAGTTCGCCTCACAGCAAGAAGGTCGCTGGTTCGAGCCTTGGCTGGGTCAGTTGGTGTTTCTCTGTAGAGTTTGCATGTCCTCCCTGTGTTCGCGTGGGTTTCCACTGGCTGATCTAGTTTCAACCACAAGTCCAAAGATATGTGGTATAGGTGAATTGGGTAAGCTAAACTGTCTGTAGTGTATGAGTGTTTCCCAGTGATAGGTTGCAGCTGGAAGGGCATCCGCTGCATTAAAAACATAAGCTGTATGAGTTGGCGGTTCATTCTGCTGGAGAATGTCTTAATTGTTTTATTTTGGCTAGAATAAAAGCAGTTTTTATTTTTTTTAAACACCTTTTTAAGGACAAAATTATTACCCCCTTTAAGATTTTTTTTCGACTGTCTAAAGAACAAACTATCGTTATACACTAACCTGCCTAGTTAATGAAATTAACCTAGTTAAACCTTTAAATGCCACTTTAATAGAAGTGTCTTAAAAAATATCTAGTCAAATATAATTTACTCTCATCATGGGAAAGATAAAATAAATCAGTTATTAGAAATGAGTTATTAAAACTATTATGTTTAGAAATGTGTTAAATAAATCTCTCCGTTAAACAGAAATAGGGGGAAAAAATAAACAGGGCAGTTAATAATTCAGGGGAGCTAATAATTCTGACTTCAACTGTACATCCTGAGTGTGTATTAAGTAATGTGCACACGTTTTGGACCTGCATAGGCGCATAAATAAGGCACTTTGCGCTGGACTTTAGACCAGCTTTCAGTTGGTCAATGGCACAGTCTATTTCAGTCTTTAAAATAGCAACATGCTAAAAATGCACTTTAATGCACCTCCTTGACACACCCATGAGTCCACAAAGGGGCACAAATGGATTTGCTATTTTAAACAACAAGGCGCAAAACTGAAAATTAGCGTTGCACTGGTCTGAAAATTGCTGAATATGCGCCTCATTGTGGCGGGTGTGTGAAAGGGCCCTTATTGACAGAAAGATATGTGAAAGTATAACAAGGGAAGGATAAAGATTAAACATGCATTGTATGTTAGGTGATGGCATTCAATAAGAGCACTTTACCTAAGTGGTTGACACCAAATTGCATCTCAAAACCGTCTGCTGTCTTGGAGTAGGGACACATCATGACCCCAGCATTATTTATAAGTAAGTGAAGACTTCTCTCCTCTGAAATAAGAAGGATTTAAATAACTTTTATTGTCTGCTGTATATGTAACATACTGGTAATTTTCAAATTAGCAAACTGTTCTTTTGTGTTTAACATGAAATACAGATGTGGCTCTCAAAATCATAATCACTCACCGCTGTTGATAACCTCAGCAAATTCTCTGATTGATCTGGTGTCAGATAAGTCTAGTTTCCTGATCACAATGTTTTGGTTGCCTGATTCTTCCATGATTTCTCTTTGTGCTCTTTCTGCTTTTTCAACATCTCTGCAAGCCATTATTATCCTGGGCCCTGTAGAACAACTCCACAACACATGACTTTTATAATTGGTGTCCCCAAACCAAACATTTTTGATGTTTCTGCTTTAAAATCTGATCTACATTACAAGAAGTAGCTGCTGTAAAGACTAAGATAAACGTGCTACCGCGTTTTGCCAGGTCTTTTGTTGTTTCTTTTCCAATGCCAGTATTTGCTCCAGTGATAATGATTGTTTTATCATCCAGTCGTGCATTAGATGACCACTGACCGCCGAAAAAGTCTCTGTGCAAGGACATCACAAGTGCCATTTAAATGGACACAATGGTGAGCTTAATTTAAAAATCATTGCATTAAAACTATGCATGTTGAACCAAAGAGGAAGCAATCACTTCAAATATGTGAAAGCCTAAATATAATAATGTAGTAATGTCAACAGTAGCAGATACGAACTCTTTGAAATATGTCTCAGTTAAACTAGATCTAGCTGTAAAGGAACTTTAGATATATATATATTATAAGTTTGAGAAATGATAAACCTACCTCAGAGTGTATATGTTGGCCATCTTGCTCTCTAAAGGCAACACATGACTTCCCTCTGGAGTTGTTCACAGATACTGCACTGAAAGACAATGCTTTGTTCAGTGTGAGCCGCAGTGCATCGGTGTGGATTAGAAATCGAACAGACTAATCCCCAGCTAATCGGTTTAAAGCTCTGATCTACTGTTAACTCAGCGTGAATGCATTCCTCGCTGGATTCTGGAAACCTGATAAATGTTTTAACTTACAATTATAATGAATTTGAACAACGTACAGCTGAAAACAAATGAATCATGAGTAGAGGAAGAACACAAAAGAATAGATTTAGAGTTATCCAAAGGGCGCAGTAGGTAGTGCTGTCGTCTCACAGCAAGAAGGTCGCTGGGTCGCTGGTTCGCTCAGATAGCATTTCTGTGTGGAGTTTGCATGTTCTCCCTGCATTTGAGTGAGTTTCCCCCGGGTGTTCCGGTTTCCCCCATAGTCCAAAGACATGTGGTACAGGTGAATTGGGTAGATTAAATTACAATATATTGGGTAGTCTAAATCGTATGAGTGTGTGTGTGTGTGTGTGTGTGTGTGTGTGTGTGTGTGTGTGTGTGTGTGTGTGTGTGTGTGTGTGTGTGTGTGTGTGTGTGTGTGTGAATGAGTGAGTGTTTTTCCAGAGATGGGTTGCGGCTGGAAGGGCATCCGCTGCATAAAAACGTGCTGGATAAGTTGGCGGTTCATTCCACTGTGGCGACTCCGGATTAATAAAGGAACCAAGCCAAAAAGAAATGAATAAATGAGTTATACAATTTAAAAAACAGCAGAGTGCAATTATATTCATTCCTTTTCCTTTGGCCTAGCCTCTTTATTCATTAGGGGTCGCCCCAGCCGAATGAACCACCAGCTTATCCAGCATATATTTTACAAAGCGGATGCCTTTCCAGCTGCAACTCAGCACGGAGAAACACCTGTACACTCCCACATGCACACACATACACTACAGCCAATTTCATTCATTTATTTTCTTTTCATCTTAGTCCCTTTATTAATTTGTGGTCACCACAGCGGAAAGAACCGCCAACTTATTCAGCACATGTTTCACGCTTATCTTTTGTTGTCCAGTTTTGGTGAGGCTGTGTGAATTAGAGCCTCAGTTTACTGTTCTTAGCTCACAGGAGTGGCACCCGGTGTGGTCTTCTGCTGCTGTAGCCTATCCGCCTCAAGATTCGATTTGTTGTGCATTCAGAGATGCTTTTCTGCATACCCCTGTTGGAACGAGTGATTATTTGAGTTACTGTTGCGTTTTTATCAACTGGATCTAGTCTGGCCATTCTCCTTTGACCTCTGGCATCAACAGGGCATTTGCGCCCACAGAACTGCCACTCACTGGATATTTTCTCGTTTTTGGCCAATTCTCTGTAAACTCTGGAGATGGTTGTGCCTGAAAATCCCAGTAAATAAGCAGTTTCTGAAATACTCAGACCAGCCCGTCTAGCACCAACAACAATGCCACGTTTAAAGTCTCTCAAATCACCTTTCTTTCCCATTCTTATGCTCGGTTTGAATTGCAGCAGATCGTTTTAACCATGTCAACATGCCTAAAGGCATTGACTTGCTGCCATGTGATTGGCTGATTAGAAATTTGCATTAACAAGCAGTTGGACATTTACTTTATTGTACCTAATAAAGTGGTTGGTGAGTGATTCATATAATTTTATCTATTATCAATTCCTTCTAGAAAGCACCTAATTGACTTTATTTTTTTGACATAATATTGATCCCAAATACACTGCTAATGCAGTGCCATGATATTTTGAGAAAAAAAGGCAGACCTGAATATTATAGAGGCAGAGTTGAAGCATCTAGGTAAGATATGACAGTTGAAATTTAAAAATAAACTACATAGGAAATGCTAAAAGAGGCCTGATATTACTTCGCACATTATTTTAGGACAATGTGTTCAGAACAGTTCATGCTGTGAAAGAGTTCACTATACTGACATTTTCATGAATAAGGTATTGTGCTCTGAAAATTGTGTTCATTGTAAAAATCTGTATGTATTTAGGCCTCTAATAAACACTGAAGAACACACCTAAAGGAACCGAAAATATAAACACACACACACACACACACACACACACACAAATATAGCAGTGTCAGCACACTTTTGAAAATAAATATGATTTCACGCTAAAACTTACTTAAACACACAAAACATGTTATCACAAATGATAATCCAAAAGATGTGGAGTACAGAAGATGTAAATTATTTTTTATTTATTCAGTTCTGGTGTAGATATAATGTATAAAATGAAAAACAAAAGGACAAATAATTTGAGATATACTGAAAACCGCTTCATTGTGGAATTATTATTATATTTTTTTGCATCGAGAAAAATCTACTTTAATGCATTCTTGAATTATAGTACTTAAGGAAAGTATAAATAAAATTATATATAAAAAAGTTAATAATAATAATAATAAGCTGCTTTCTTGTGTTTGTTGTTTAGCATTTATATGACAATGTTGTACACCACCCATGTTTTCCAAAGTATCTAGTTTAGACTATCTAATTTATAAATGACCAGTTTCTTGAAACACATTTATAGCTGTCCTTCCAATTAAATGCTGATCTTGCTGTGGTCATCACACTCAAACATCTCTAGTGTGAATACTCCTATGTTTACACCTGATGTAAGGACTAGAGGCCCTATCCTATATGATGTAAGTGTTTTTGCTAGTTTCAGTTTGATGCAGTATTCATGTTCACATCCTGAGCCAGTTTTTTAAAATAGCAAATGTATTTGCGCTCATTTGCCTGCTTGTGGGCTGATGATGTGCTCATGCGCATTGCTGTTTTAAAGCAACTGAAATAAACTGCACCACTGACCAACTGAAACCTGATTTAAAGTCATTGGCACAAAATAGATTATATTAATTAAACCATTTTAAAAATGCTTTAGTTTTATGCACCCACACAGGATGTGCAGCAATACTTAAACAAGCAAAATATTAAAAATGATCTTGAGCCTCTTTCAATCCCCGAGGCTGGCTCTAGCAAAACAAATGAATATGATTGGTTAAGATTGGCAAAATGAATGAATTGAAATGTGGTTCAACCGGCATAAGAGCCTTGGAATTAAATAAACTAAAAATATGGATTACTATGTATAAATATATTGCACAGGCATGTCCTGATAGTCCCATTTCATGCTTTAACCATGTGCATGAGAAGATCTGCTTGCAAAGTCAAAAACAACAGGCGCATAAAGAGATGACTCTGATTGGTTTAGCATGTTATGCCCAAAGCACGCCCCAAAAAAACAGTCACACACCCTGTAGGACTAAAACCCCTCCTCCCTCCAAAAATATTGAGGTATTGGATGTTTTTCATCGTGCATAAACAGATTTTGCTGGACAAAAATCAGTCAATCATTTTTGAAAAAACTATTTCGATTATATTGTTCATCTGATTTTATCTAAGGAATGCACCACTTGGACAATCTCAGGCTGAAAGTACAGGAAACGGAAAGTAGTGACCTTGGTGATTTCAACTTGTGAGGTTGGTAAAATGTATTCATTAAATGCTAATCTCACAAATTCTAAGTAGAAAAAAATCTGCAAATTTTTGGCACCACAATTTTTAAAAAATATATCATATTAAACACATGAATTTGAAACTGAATATCTGGAATTTTTATTCGGGCGTATTTTTAAACTTCAGGATTGTCCACATGTGAAAATTTTGATATATGTTAATCTAAAGGTTTAAAAAGTGCTTAGATTTCTGACAAAGTGCTTGAAACTGATTAAAAAAATGTAAACATTTGGCTTTTAAAATGTTTTTTTTTTTTTCTAAATAGTTAACATTTCCAAATTCAAAACTACTTTTATAGGCATAAACTATTCAGGTTAATTACATTACAATTGTTAATAATTCAAATTAACACAATTCAAATTCAGATTGTTTTAACATATTTTAAGCTCCATATGAAGGTGGTTTCTGCCGATGGAATCTTCAGTAAACTTACTTTGAATAAATCTCTGACTTTAGGTCTTCTTCACTGGATACACAGGTCATTTTTGAGGTTAAACGGTCTGTTCCCCTACAGTGTATTTGCTGTACTGAATAAGAAATGGAGCATATCGTCACCAGGTCACCTTTTGCTAATCATTAACTTTTTTTTTTACAAGCATGACATAATGGAATTTTTCAATTATGCCTTAAAGCAAAGGTATGGTACCTGAACTAGGGAAAAAAAATTATTAGTGTATTATATTATATTATATTATATTATATTATATTATATTATATTATATTATATTATATTATATTATATTATACTATATTATATTATATAGTGTTGTATTGTATTTTATTATATTATATTACATTACTGTATATTATATTATATTATATTATATTATATTATATTATATTATATTATATTATATTATATTATATTATATTATATTATTTTAAATCATATTTTAAAAATATAGCCTAGTGGTACCCTTTCTTGACCACCCTAGCAAGCAAAAGACAAAAAAAAAAAAAAAAAACGACTATTAAAACCATGACTATTAAAACCCAGATGAGTGTGTAGATAAAAATATATATGGGAAAAAGAAAGGAGGAAGACCAGATTGAGAAAGTAAATATTGCAATAAGCTCTCTAACTTCCTTGTGCATTGTAAATCTTTAATCTCTGCTAGCAATAACAGTCGAGAGGTGTTTCCTGAAAGCTCTGGAGGCCGGCCGTTTGACACTGACAGAAGATTTACACATGAACTGACAAGCTGACATCGCATTCATCTTCAGCTCTCTTGGCACCAACAGTAAATGGATGAAGTGTCTCTGTTATAGCAAACCGCCTGCCTGCTCCTGCTGAAGGAATATTGACATTTGATTGATGCTATAAAGGTAAAGTGCAATCTGCAATCATGCCATACAGAATTACTTCAGTTAATTCTAAAAGAGTTGCAGTGTTCTGAACAACAAACGTAAGTTACCATATTTATAATTAGAAAGGTATTTTTAAAAACATGATTGCCATTGAGGGTCTACTTTAAAATATAGGTGCAGTCTTGACTAAAATGATTCATTTTGGTTCATTTTTATTCTCTTTTGTTTTTTTCCTTTAAATTTAAAAGGTGTTTAAAGGCAGTGCGAGGGAAGTATTTTGAAACTTCTGCTTCTGCTAATATTACTTCATGTGAAAGAACCATGCTGTTGAGCATATACAAACAAGACAAGTCTTGTCCATTTCACCTTAACAGGGGCTGTGTGATTAAAATATTCAATCACACCCTTTCCTAATTGCTTTATTAGGGGTCGCCACAGAGGAATGAACCGCCAATCTAAATATTAAATATACAGAAATACATTTCTAGAGGTTTGGAGGAAAGAAATTAACTCTACATTGTAGAACAAATCCTGGTTGCCTTAAATGTTTAAGCTGAATCAATTTAACCTTAAGAGTCCATAAAAACTTATATTGTGTTAAAATTGCTTACATCATTTATAAAATTAAGCTAGAACATGATTAACTTAGTTTAATAAGTTACAATGAACTGAAAACATATGCTGTCATGACTAATTGTTCAAATAATGTTCATATAATACTGGTTACTGCATTTTCAGAGTAAACGCTTTTTACTAAAAGAAGTTCAAAAAGTATATATTACATATTATATTTACATTATATATATTACATAGTACATATTATATATATATATAATATGTTTAAAAGGTTGTGATCTTATATGTTAAATGAGGGAAAACGTCTTGCTGACAAATAGGTAAAAGCTAGTGATTTGAAGGATCGAGTATAAATATCAGGACTGTAGCCGGCCTATTGGATTCTTTTTGTCTCTAAAAGTGGACCTCTTAGCAGTTATTGGCCTCATTTTCTTTTAATTTTTGAGGTTTAAATATTACATTTAAGTTACATTTTAAGCACAACTTTTGGCTGGGTTAGCTATTGTGGGTATGCTACTTTACTGTGAAGTGTTTTTTTTTTTTTTTTTTTTTTACAAATGTGCATTTAAACTGTAAGTTATTACAGTTTTATAATTAATGTAATGAGCTTTGAATTTTAAATAAAAATTCTGTATGTTTGTACCACCCGAACCCCTAGCTACAGGCCTGAATATTTAAAGTTACAATTAATTCACATTTTAGGGCTGCACTGTGATCATTAAATAGAGTATTTTAATATTCAAATTGTTCTTGTTCTAAATATGCCTGACACTATGGACTATATATATTATACTAAGTCTATATACAGTATTAAGATATACAAAAATGACTATATTAACTATTATTTGAATTACATTTTAGAGGTGCCATCTGTAAATAAATTTTTAAATGAATGGTAGACTATAACTATGACTAACTACATAATATATCGCACTGCACATTTTATTTTTGTCTTTTTATCCAGAATAGATCTTCAAGCATGAACAACAACTCTTCGAGAATGAACAACACCACTGGATTACCAGAGGACACCACTAGATTACCAAATGACTTTAGAATTGCTCTTCTGGTTTTGTACACATTCATCTTTCTTGCTGGAACTTTGAATGTTTTACTGATGTCCTGCATGCTACGGGTCCAAAGTCGTCTTTCTTTCACCAAAGTATCTGTGATCAACTTAATAGCAGTCCACGCATTTTTCCTTCTTACGGTGCCTTTTCGAATTTACTATTACACTGCAGGCACCTGGGTTCTGGGCATAGATTTCTGCAAAATCGTCAGTCTTATGATCCATGCCCACATGTATCTTGCGTTCATCTTCTATGTTATCCTTCTTATCGTGCGTTTTCTAGAGAACTGTGAGCAACAGCACACTCTTGAGTTTCACCGCCTTCTTCATGCTTTCATTGCAAGCGCAACAATCTGGTTGATCACATTCGGCTCTGTGTTTCCAGCAACTTTAGCAAACTATGGCACCTTGCAGAATGATTCGACTCACTGCTTTCATTTCAATAAGGAAATCAAGATTCCTGCTGTGAAGATACTGAACTATATTATTTGCATACTAGTGATTCTGATTTGGTGTGTGCTGGCATTATTCCAGGTTTATTTTCTGCTCTTTGTGAATAAGACATTTGGAAAGTCCATATACCAGCGTCAAGAGTTCTGGGCACAGATCAAGAATGTCGTTTTTCTTTCGGTTATGTTTTTTTGTTTTGTGCCCTATCAAGGGTTTAGGGTTTATTTTATAAGTAATTTTGATACAAAAATAAATAATATAAACGAAGTATTTCTTGCTGTCACTGCTTTTAGTTGCTTCGATATGATTGTGTTTGCTGGAAGAGATATTTGCAAACTTATCAATTCTAAAAGGTAGTTTTCAATTCATGTAGCATAGCATCTGTGTTGACTTCATGTGGTTTCTATATTGTTACTGAACTTGCGTGAACTGAAATCTTTGTTTTGGAATGTTTTGTATTATGGGTTGGCTGTTGATTATTTGATTTATAATGACATTTGTATTAAATCTAAATTATATGTTTACAAGGCATGGACACAGTTTTTATATTTGTATGGTGGTCAAGTCTGTGGGACCTGTTTTAATTTTTTTTCAATAAAAATGGTACAGTCATTATTTTTAAATCTCAGACTCATTGGCCTTGGCTCATTTTCATTGAAGAACATTAATCAGAGTGCATTCTCAATGACCAACAGTGGTGGAAAGAGTACTGAAAAATTGTACTCAGGTAAAAGTACCATTACTTGCCTAAAATATATCATAAATATATCTATATAAGTATATATTATATATAAATATTTAAGTATTTCTTTACTGGGAAAATTCAGTTTTATATTTTAGCCTCCTCTAGAGGTAGTTAAAACGCTTGCCGTAACAAGAACATCGAGTAGGTCTATCTAACTGCTATCAACCGATGATAGAACTACACTACAAAAATGCTTAGTGCCAACAGTAACATACAGTCAGTACCATTACTTGCCTAAAAATGTAGTGCAAGTAGAGTAAAAGTATCTGTTGTAAATATTTCTCAAAGTATGAGTAAAAAGTAGCCTTTTTAATACTTAAGAGAGTATTATGCTGTTAAAAGCTGATGCGTTTACATCTAATTTGTGAATGTGTTTAAATGTAACATTCTGTAGTGCAGTGAGTTATTGGCCAGTAGGCATAAAACATCATAAACCAACTTCATATTGATGTCAAATACTGACTTTCATTCATCAGGTATGGCAAGCAAAACCCAACGTCTGATAGACATATAGTAGCAACTTCTAAGCAATGTCAAGCTGTAACATCATTAGACATTGATATTTGGTTGTTTTTAGGTTGGTTATTAGACTTTGGCATTGGCCTAATGTTGAGTACTGACAATAACCCGATTTTCATTTCCAAACTAAATGCAACGTCCTCACGACGTTAGGGTACAACATCAATCTTATGTCATGTTGATGCCTTGTGCCTACTGGGTGTTTAAGGCCATTTTGGTCATCATACAGTAAACATCCGTCATCTTCTCATCAGTGACATGTATCTAAACAGTCTCTGGGTCAATGCGTGTTTTGGACATCTTTTTGTACACTTATAATGCTTCCAAACAGTTTGCTGCAATTATAAATTGCCTATGTCTTGAGTTAGTTCAGTATGATGCGATTTACCTTCTATGTGTGATTTGATTGGACAGGAATCACAGGACTGATTGTAATAACCCCTATATACAAGAAAAAATAAAGTAGTGATTGCAGGTTGAAGGACAGTAGTGGAGGAAAGTACCAATACTACACAAAAAATGTACTCAAGGGAAAGTAAAAGTACACACTTTCAAAACTACTTAGTAAAGTACAATTCCTGAGAAAAACTACAATTACAGTAATTTGAGTATTTGTAATTTGTTACTTTACACCACTGATGACCACACACTCATACCCACACATTTATATAACATTCAGGATGTTTGGGTCCACTAGACCCTAGGTAAAAGAAAGTGTGAAAAATGTAGGTGCTGGGTACCTTTTTGTTTCAATTCAATTCAATGCAAGTTTATTGCAAGTTATTGTTTCAAATCAGCTTATAAAAAGTGGACATTATTGCATTACAATCAAAGTTACAATCAGATATGAGGTTTTATATAGAGACATTGTTAACCTTAATTTTATAGCATATATGTGATGTGTATGTGCATATGTTTAATATAGTGTATTTGTGTATTAAGTGTATGTGTTGTACTTGATGGTTGGCATCATCTCTTCACAGGTCTTGGATGCAATCAATGCCACTGCACAGTCTTTAAAGGCTCCAGGATGGGCATCCTCAGGTGGAAATAGAGAACAAAGAAAATAATTAGCGTAGCTGTTGTTCATAATGTATTTGAACAAGAGAAATTAAATGGCAATGTGAAAATAAAATGCTATAAATAAAAATAGGAGTTTTATAAACAAACATATAAACAAACATAATAAGCCTGTAAGTATTATTAACAAAATGTCTGGTGCATTAAGACAGGAATAGTGTGTCAAGCCCACTCTCTCACATGGAGTACATTTGCTGTGTGTATGCTTTACTAAAAAGATTGGTCTTTAATCTAGTTTTGAACTAAGAGAGTGTTTCTGAGCCTTGAACATTATCAGGAAGGCTAATTTAGAGTTTAGGAGCTATAAATGAGAAGGCTCAACCTCTTTTAGTAGACAATGCTATTCTGAGTTTTAAGACTTTAAGAGCGAGTTGGGTAGTGGCAAGACAGAAAGTTGGTTAGATAAACAGGAGCTAGATTATTTAAAGCTTTATAGGTAAGAAGCAATATTTTATAATCAATATGAAACTTAACAAGCGACCAGGGTAACATTTTATTTTGACGGTCCATTTGAGTATTAGTAGACTGTCTGCTTCACATCTGTTGATACTGCTCCTTCAACAGACAATTAACTGACTATAAGACACTTTTCGAGTACATGTCAACTTATACTAACTCTAACCCCAACCCTAAGCCCAACATAACAGTCTACTTATAATCTAAAAAGAATTAGTTGGCATGTAGCTGCAATGTTACTTAAATTCAACAAAAGGACCATCAAAATAAAGTGTGACCCCAACCAGTGTAAGGAGGATAAAATTAGGGTGATATAGTCATATTTTCTTGACTTAGTAGGAACTCTGGCAGCTGCATTTTTATTGTAATTGTTTCTACCTTGGTTGTAGATGCAAAAAGATGGCCCAAGGTGCAAAAAGTACATATGTTCCACTGTAAAACTCTTACCCTCATGTGTTGTACAGGCTGGCATGTGTTCAGTGGTTCTGATAGGGCAAAAAACAAGTAGCTCTTTAATTCATATATGTGATATAACAAAGTTAAATGGAAGATATTAACCAAAAAATACTGTCTATTTCGCTTGCAGTTGGGAGGAATGAAAAATCTATTGAGAATTTCAACACACACACAAAAACAACCAATTCTTTTTTTTTAATTCAATAATACCAAGATAGCATACGAATGTGGGTCACTTTAGGCAGTTATGTGGCACTGGTGGTTTTCCTTTGGCCCAGACAAAATGAATGTGAGTCTGAAGTGGCCCACCTGTACAATGGCAAAGGGGGGGCAAAGATTCAAATTCACATATGGGCTATTTAAGGAAAAGATTTGTCACTTATGACAAAATGTAATCTGAATGTGAGCCTAATGTGGCCCATGTGGAAAATGATAAATTTGGCCCAAATGATGGAGCACAAATGTGAGCCACAGTTAGCAAAAATGTTGCATAAAGGGTCATCTGGGTCTAAGTCTTAAGTGGCTCACACATGTAGGTGCAAATGTGGCGCAGTTATCTTAAAACATATATGTGCACTTTTGGCAAATATTTGGCACAGTAAGCTCTGGCTATTGCAGCTGTGAGCCTAATGTGACCCAGAGAAAATATGGCAAATTTGGCCAAGTTATTTTTAAACTTATGTGGGCCACTTTTGGTAAATATTCAGCACAGTAAACTCTGGCTAATGCAGCCGTTAGCCTATAGTGGCTCAGAAGAAATATGGCAAAAGTGGCCCAGTTATCCTAAAACAAATGTGGGCCACTTTTGGCAAAGATTTAGCACAGTTATCGCTGGCTAATGTGGCTGTGAGCCTAAAGCGGCCCAGAGCAGAAATGGCAAATGTGGCCCAGTTATCTTAAAATATATGTATACCACATAGAACAAAATGTAATAACATGCCTGCACATGCCACAGAATTTATAAAGGTTTGTAAGCAAAAAAATGCTATGCTTCAACTTATGCTCAGAGAGACATCAATTATCAGCATATGAAGCTCAACAACGGTGTCAGTTAACAAAATGAACAAAACTCCCAAAACATCACAAAAAGGATACTAAACGTGATACATTAAACAACATCTACAGCAGAATCAAAAGCAAATATTGAAACTGTGGCATCAATTAGCTATAGAATGTATTCATACTGCAATGCATACTGCGATTGTTGTACTTTGCCACACCCAGCAAGTGTAAGGTGTACACTGTTAGACATTTCTGTAAATTACACAGTTATTTACTGTATTTCACCCAGTGTAATACTGCAAATTCCTTTTACGGTAAATAACTGTATTTACCGTTGCATTATGGGAATTTAGTGTGACGTCGAACAACATATACAGCGATGTACTGTATTTGTAAAAATTCGTGTATTATACTGTATTTTCCACAACTGCTTCAACGCCACCTTGCGGCGATTCGACTACTCTGCACCACATTTTGCCTGAGGACCCTGGAGCAATTCTGGAGGACAATTTATTAGTGTGCCTGAAGAACATACTGGATTTAACAAACTTTACTCTGGTAAGCTGAGGCAGTGTTTCATTTTACAGAATGTTTTGTGGACGAGAATAGAACAAAGTAAAGTATAAAGTTGGCTATTATTATTTTCTCTGGCTTGGCGTTATTTCACCCATTTGAGAAATATATCATCTATTAAGATGTTACCTTTATTTAATTTATTACATTAACACTACTATTACTTTAAATAAGACTGTTTATGACTATTAGCCATTGTTCTCGTCATATCTTTTTATTTATTTGCATAGGAACCGGTGTTGCAGCGGGTTTTGGTTTAGGAGGGAACCAGAGGTATGCAGACAGTTTTGGAGGACACTTAGCACGAGACAACGGTCCGGCAGAGAGTGTTTTCCCCCAGAAGAATATGAATGAAAGACCAACAAATAATCCAGGTAAAAGCGCGTCTGTCTGTGCTGACAACACTCGACATTGATTTGAGCACCTCTATTAGCATTTGTTTGCTCGGCAACATTGGCTGAAGCGATCTTAAAATGGTAATGTTAACTGTTAGCTAAACTGAGCTAAGTTTATACTGAATTGGACTCAAACTCATTTTAACGTGCAACGTTTAACTTATATTGATTTATACTATATATATTAGATGTTGTGAACTTATTTTTCTCTGGTTTAGAGTAACTTATAACGTTAGCTTGAGAAAATAACATCGCGACGTAACCTTATAAGAACGTTAACGTAAATCTATAACGTTACAATATGCATAGAGGTAAAGTTGGTTTTATATTCGCACATTCGTTCATTTAGAAGACTCTATACTGTTTACCATGTTACTTTGAATATTCGATCAG